GCGTACAGAAGTGTTGTCCTACCTGTGTGGCTATCAGATGAATGCAACAGCTGCAGACAGGTTCTTGAATAAAAACCTTGTGGACAGGCCGCAAAGAGCATCTCACCCGCCCTGCACCATTCTAACCCAGTCATAAAATCCCAGGGAAGCCCAGGAAGCCTGAGAGCTGGACTTCGTGCAGTACAGTGAGCTGGACTTCATATAATACAACTACACAGCTAGGACACCCAGTCCCTGGTTCACATGCTGGGTGGAGAGTGAGCTATACAGGGAACGGTTCCTTCTGACATCGCAGTATAAGCAGGAGAGGACTGACAGTCAAGCAATTGTATCTCAGGCTGGAGCGTTCTCCCATGGTGAGACAATGTGACCGAGAGTCAGGATTTGCAGATTGTGTTCCTAGCTTTGCCACTGATTTGCTGTGTGACCTTGGGCACATCACTTCCCTTCCTGGTGCCTCAGTTTCCCTGGCTGTGAAATGGGGGCAGTACTGATCTTCCTGTGAAGAAGAATGCTTGTGAAGTGCTCTGAGACCTGCCAGGGATGAAAGGCCCTATAGAAATGCACAGTGTCATTATTATCAGAAGGAATGCAAAGCTAGACTTGAGAGCTGGAAAAGTAGCCATGCTTTAGCCAGATGCCTCCCTGTCACTCTTTAGCAACATTGTTTATGTGTGTGCACTGTATATTTAGCAAGGCTTGTTTTTCTGAGACACTGCCTCTTTCTTAGCAGGCTGGCATCATGACAGAAGTTCCATGCACGGTTTCTTGGTGGGGTGAGCTGACACACGCCACACCGCTGGGGCTGTGGTGGTAATGCCGGCTAAGTGACTCATGCCACCTACTGTTAGTTTTGGCTCACCCCAAGTTTTATAAGTCTCCACCTGACCTGAACGTTCGTTTGTTTTCTGAAGAGTAGCAAAGTCTAGCAATGCTCAGCCCTTCCTCTCCCACCCCAGGCCCTGCGAGATTGCCAGGGAGGTAGCGAACAACAAGGCTCTCTCCTTGGGAGACATCTTGCATGAAAGAGGAAGTCGTCTTGAAATAAAACAGGCACTTCCCTTTTTACTGAGACTTTTGCAGATTTTGAAACATGCAGCACAGCCCCTAGAAAGACAGCAGCTGGATTAGTTAGGTTGCACAGGCTGCCCTGCTGCACAATCAGAGCTGGCAAGGAGATGGCTTATCAAGAACTGCGCCCTGCTGCCTTCGTTTGGGATGGGACCTCAGGTGCACATGAGACTGGCAGATTGCCCCAGTGGCTGTTCTAAAAGAAGTAGGTAGCATTATTCTATCATATAGCAGGCTGCTGCTGAATGCATAGCTTTGGTTGCATTGAAATGCTAGTCTTGTCATATTCCTGTTGCTTTCTCGGCTCTTTCGGAGGGGGTCTGCCGCTTAGATCAATGCATCATTCAATAGGTGGTTCTCTTATCAGGTCCTTGACTGGAAACTTTCATGGAAAGGGGGGGACGCACAAAAATGACATTGTGTCGCTAATGTGCTTGTCACTTTTGGGAGTGTTGCAGATTTTAGAAATTTGAAATCTGTGCGGTATGTGTGTGTGTGTGTGTGTGAGAGAGAGAGAGAGAGAGAGAGAGAGAAAACTTTGTCCCTGGTAGAAAAAGGCCCTGGAAATTGTCCTAACAGGATATACATGGTTTCCTTTTTCTAAGTGAATTTCATGATGGGGCTAGGTAGGGGACTGCCAGCCCTGGAGAATGAAACTCCCTGCTTATCCACAGAGCTGGAACATCACAGGCAGCAGCAGTGTGAGCTTCCCCCACACTTCCCAGTCAGTGCGCTTGAGCCATGACCTGAAGTGACCGCCCCTTGGGCCAGTGGCTATTTCAGTCTGTACAGCCCATTCAGTGGTCTCTGCTATAACTGCCAACGTGGGGGACAGCTGGTAATTTTTGTGCCGTGGATGCACAGTGCTGCTATGAGACCCACCAGCCCATTGCATGCAGGCCCCGGAAACAGCTGACAGAGAGTAACCACTTTCAATTTCTTCCCACCACGGCTGGAGTATGATCAGTGAATTCCAGTGAAATTATTCTCACCACAAAGTTTCTGGTATCTCATCAATATCTCTTGTTCATTTATAACCCTAATATAACTGACTCCAAACCTGCACCTTCTGCTGTCAGTGAGTTGAAAGGGTAACATGCCCTCATCACCACTCCCATAATCCTCTCTTCCCCAGCTCAGCCTGCTGATTGTGTCTCTTCTTAATTTCTGTCTGTCAGGTCTTGGGAGTGTATCTCACTCTGCAGTGTGTGCAGTGCCTCGCACGCTGGGACCCCGATCCCTGAATGAGGGCCTGCAAACACTGTGGATAGCCAGGGCCGGCTCCAGCATTTCTGCCGCCCGAAGAAAAAAAAAAAAAAAAAGCCGCGATCGCAATTGCGACCGGCGGCGGCAATTGGGGAAAAAAAAGACGTGATCGGCGGCGGCAGTTCGGCGGCAGGTCCTTTGCTCCTAGAGGGAG